GAAGTTGTTTGTGTTGTGGTCAAAGTGAAAGGCAAACACTCCAGCTCCTCCAGTGATGTGTGAACATTCTGGGAATGTCCCCCCGAGCCCGCAAAGCAGCTGGACCTGCTGGCTGTTCCAGGCTGACGGAGTATGAGGGGGACGGAGCACGCCTGACTGTTAAACACCTCAATTAAGAGGCTATAAAGTAGGATTTACTGCACAAACTGACCGTAATATATTTGTGGCGGGTTGATAGGGCTGATCGATACCAGTTACTCAAAAGAAAACATTGCCAAATGCTCAGACAACCATCCATGTCATTGTTTCCATTATTTATTCAGCTGCTTGTTACAAAACAGTATCTGTATAATCATCTTTTCGACGATGTCAGATGGAAATACAGTACTTTTGTTGTTTACTATATGCAATGTCTGCTTTCAGAACAAGCCAATACTCAAAACTTCACATCATCAATAACAATACAACTACTCCTCATCATTGTTACAAGTCTTCCAAGTTTAACAACAGAACATTGCTTGTCCGTGACCTCTAGAATGACCCTTAATTCCTGATTTGACACCCCCATCAGTAAGACAACATCATTTGTCTGTTCCTTCCAAAAGCATTAAATATCCTGCTGACAAATGAATAACTTTTATGATGTGATATTGCTATGATTAAGGTTTGGTTGGTTTAAGGCACAAAAACAACATTGTTGTAAATAAGTGCTTGCTTTGGATGAAGAAAGATTCTTGGTTTGGGTTAAAACAGCCCTGAAGGTAAGGGAATAATCATCCGCTGCCTGGGGGAACAAACAGCTTTGTCCTGTGTTAAAGTCATGATTCTTAAGTCTTTCGTGAAATTACAAAAATGTTTCATACTTTGTATACAGTAGTTTTCATTGGAAAGTCTGGTTTCCCACAGAGAATTCAAGCTCCCTACCGACGCTTACCTACAGTACAAAGTAAGTTTGTTTGCTGCACTGTAAACAAATACACAGGTTATCTGTCATTTCTGACCCCAGAATTCTGGGACCTGTAGTTATTAAACCACACTTGAAAACCATTGGGTTTCACCATAACAACAAAACTGAAATCTTAGGGATTATTACTTTAAAGATGGGTGTTTTGTTGACGCATCCATTAATCCCTTCCTCCTTACACAGACTTGCTTGCGCTATAATGTCACCTTACTTCCTCCTTTGATCCAAAGGACATTCTTCACTTTTGATATTTCACTGTGCTAATGAAGGTTTTATTTGGGTTTCTTTCCCTTTTTTTGGACTGTTCAACATGTTTAATGCTTTTGATTTGATTTTGCATGACCTCACAGTGCCACAGAGTACGTTTTCCACACTTAAAGATCAGACTGTATTGCTGTATCCAACATGAATGCACATGTGGCTGTTTTAAACCAATGGTGTTCTATTCTTCATCAGCTAAACTACCATAGAGTTGGTGTTTTTGAACACTACACCAGCTACATAAGCACTGCAGTACAACTAACAAAACCAGTGTGCAATCATTTGTGACCCCTTTTGTGAAAAACCCAAGGGCAACATTTTAAACAGCGAATATATCAAATGGCTGCCACAAACAGTCAGGTAGCAGAGCGTTCTCCTGGTGACAGTGGGATTAGTGCCGCAGGTTTTCTCTCAGGACCCGAGGAGTCGGGCTGCAGCTTGAGTAACTGGATTACAGCCTTTTCTCATTTCAAAGGGGTTGTGAACTCAGCAGAGGTCTTGCATGATGAAATCAAAGTGGCAGCTGAAATGGAAGGGAGAAAAACAACAAGAGTTTCTCAAAAGTTTCCAGGAATTGTCCCAACAGCTAATAAGAGAGATTCTAAATCAACGATCTTTGCTTCGCCGTGTCACCAGCATCTGATGCAAGAATTCTGAGAACTATCCCAAAGCTAAAACCAGGAGGGGAACATCATCTGGAGAGCAGGAATAATTTACAATAAACACCTTCTGATTGGAAATCCTAAGGAAACAACAAACAGCAACACACCTCTTTTTTAACTACCTCTTAAAATGTGCGTCAAAGCTATGGCAGGACCACAGAGGGCAATCGAGGTGGAGCCCATTCCAACAAATACCCTGTGGTAACTTTGGGGATTATTTCCAAATCCTTTCAAATGAACTTTCCATCTCAGTGCCTCCTCCGCCATCTCAGCCATTCCAACTGTCCAACCATTTCTACATCACTTTCTGCACAACCTCGCATGGAGCCAAGGCCAAAACAAATGCCTGTGAGAAATATGGTCAGCACACATCAGGAGGATGAATCCCACTTCCAAGGACTGGGAAGGTCAATATTTAGGACTGGAGTTTAGTTGTATCACTGTGTTAATCCGAGACAAAAAACTAAAGCATGTTATGCATCTTTACAATAATAGAAAAGGGTCAGAAAACTGTCAAATATGCAAAAATCTAACTTTTAACTTACATAACTTGTTTTTCAAGACCAAAGTCAAAACAGTGTTATATGTTAAAGCCTCAAGTCCTTAGAGAACATACTTGAAACAACGAAGCATTTCAGAGTTATGATATTATTGTAGATTTCTTATAGTAAAACAAGTTCCAGCTGAATAGGTTCCATATAGGTTTTCCATTTACCTACATGAAAAAACGCAACCCTGGTGCCAGAACTTAACTGAAAACACTGCAAGGAAAAGTAGGGCTAAGGTCAAATATTCCATGTTGTCAAATATCCCTAAGCGTAATAAATATGTTGTGTACGTTCATAGAAACGTATTCAACAACTGTGTATTATAGATGGAGATTAATGAAGGGAAATAAACTAAAGAGTATTTCTCACAAAGGCACGGTAAGCATTATTATAGATCTCAGCCTACACAGCTTCAAACCTCCAGCGTCAGTGGTTTAGAGAGCTGCCCCTTTGTAAACATTGTGCTGTGATATGCATGGGGTGAAGGGGTGAAGTGATCTGCATGGGGTGAAGTGTGGGCCGTTTTGTTCAGGAGGCCAAAGAAACAGAGCTTGGAAGTGAACTGAGCTCACTGAAGCAAAGTTGATGGCAGAGATACGTTATACACGCTCAAAGAGCTGGAACACAAACAGCCACAGTTTGTAAATTAAACCCAGAACCAACCCCCCAACACACACACAGACACACACACTCCACTGTGTATGTGGAGAAAGAGAGGAGGGCATTTCAACAGAAGCATGTAGTCAGAAATCAGCTATGGTAGCTGATTAATTTATGTTATTATACCACTCGTACTATAATAAAAGAAAAGTGTCCCTTATCCTTTAAAACCCTTAGACTTTAGGATTGCTTTCCCATGTGAACACTCCACTCAGCAATGCATTCAAGCACTCATTGTGCACCATTTCAATTTTATGACAAGCAGGCCAATTTTGTGAGATTTTTTGCACCTCATTCATCCATTCACACACCGTGCATTATTATGGCCTAATCAACGCATGCTGTGCTTTTTCTCAGTGCTGGAACTGCCTGAACAAATGCGAGAGGCAAAAGAAAGACAAGGAGGAGGAGGAGGAGGAGGAGGAGGAGGAGGAGGAGGAGGAGGAGGAGGAGGAGGAGGAGGAGGAGGAGGAGGAGGAGGAGGAGGAGGAGGAGGAGGAGGGGAGGAGGAGGGGGAACCGGCAGTGCTACACAGCTATTCTCCTGCTGCAAAGCTTCATGCACGGCAGATCGCATACCGACACTGTGCACTGACAGGGATTTTATTTAGTAGCCCCACTAATGAAATTAGTGAGCAGGATACAGCACTAGTTTACTATTTTATTGTAATGTGTAAAATATTTTCAGTTATGTTTTAAAGTTACTTTTTGTATTTCTTGATGCAAAAAACAAGAACTGTTAACATAAACAAAGGCATCTAAATAAAATTAACAAAATCACATGGGATTTTTAAGTGTTAATTTCAAGATGAAACCTCCCTCTCCCGACCCGTCATTTTTTCTTTTCTTGCAGAGGAGGTTTGAGACCCAAGCGGCAGCAGATCGTTCCCACATGCTTCCCTGCCGCTCGGCTCTCCAGAGGTGTCAAGCCAGCCTGAAAGAATGAAGTGCCTCCCTATTGTGCGACCCAACTATTATGTGCTTAACATTTCCATGACAAAGATGCCACTCGACTTCTCCTACATCCATTCAGCTGGAGGGCCCTTGTCCCCTTCTAATAAAACATTTTGCTGCAAATCATTGATTTAATGCCCTAGAAGCTGACGAAAGAGAGAAGCATGATCAAGAATATGTCATACAAATAATATTGTAACAAATGTTAGAAATTATAATATGCAAATACTGCATAAATGTTTTTTTGCTAAAAACCAAAATGAATCAATATTATACCTCGAAATTCAAACTAATTAAAGAATGCTCTTTAATCCAATTAAAAACCCACACACATTGATTGACATGTTTGTAAAAAAAGGTTTGTTTGCATCTGTAAGTAAAACTTTTGTTGTTCTTGTAAATCCTGATTTTCAATCTATTATGAACACTCGTGATTTTAATTGGAGTATTTGTATATGATTAAAACGGAGCGTGGCTTTAACAGTGAGGGTAGCTGCTGATACCTGAGTGCAGAGGGTGTTGGTGGGGGATTGGGGTTCGGTTGATTTATGGTGCCAGTTGCTTTTGACAACAGCCTGCTAAATCAAGACATAGCGGGTCATTAGGCTATCAGTCAACAGAGGAATTTGGCCTGCATTTTAAATGAGCCCATGTTATTCTCTCTAACAAACACATTTATATAAAAACGATATTCCTTTAAACTGGTGAAATTGATATATAGATATGTATCTTCATTAGCAGCAGGATTTGTATACAGTTTATTATTAACCGAGTAAACCTCACTATAGTTACTGTAAAAGCAAACTAAGGAGCATAGGATAAGGATCAAAATGTTGCTTTTACCAATAAAGTGGCATATATTATGCACATCAGGTAATCCTGCAAAGTTGAATAGGATTTTTTAGACATTATAACAAGTGTGTGAATGTATTAAATAAGTCACACACTTTTGACATTATTTTATTACCTAACCGAAAATCAAAGCAGGTTACTTCAACCTGATGTGAGAAAGAGTCATGAAAGGACATTTAAACAATTTTGATTTTGTCAATATAACGTATTCTTGTTCATAGTGTGTTTTGGCTTCCAACAACTTATCCAACATTTATTTTCCACCATGCAAACATTTAAAACAAAACCGGTGAACTTATATTGTTTACAAAAACTCAAGTTGGCTGAGCAATGACAATGTGTCATGTTTTGAATTCTTTAAAAATAATGTACTTAACTCTCTGAATTAACAGTATCAAGGGAGTATTGTGGCAAAAAACAAATAACTCACAGTCAAGAATTATATATTCAAGTTACCTTTATGCCTTCTATAAAAGTATATAATTAAGGCAAGCATACAGTGGATTTAGACATTTCTTTCTCTGGGCAATACACAGTGAATAAATCATATCATAGTCTAAAAACATAAAGGATTCTCTGAAAAAAAACTATATAGGTTATACACATATATACAATACACATTATCTTTGAAGAGAATCGATCAAAATAACTTCCCTTTAAAGCTGGAATATTCAGTCTTTTATTCACATGATGAACATTTGGATGTAACTAGGTGGCATGTAATAAATTACTGTTTCACTTTAACTCCTAATCTATTTACAGTTGTATACAGTTCATAGATTCCAGCATTAAATACGTGTAAATCAAATAGCCTGGTGCCAAATGGCAACAGTGTCATATAAAAATAGTTCATATCTTTAAAAAAAGAAAGAAAGAAAGAAAGAAAAGATTGGCAGTGCACAGCATCTGATTAAGCCTTTCATTGTTTCCAAAACAACTGTCTCTATGTGGCAACTTTACAATCAGAGTCTGTGACCTAGAGAAAGAAGACAATCTAATTTAGCTTATCACTAAAGCAAAGCATCTGGAGAGCCGTGAAGTGGTGTGGCTTGATAAGAGGAGCAGCGTGCAGCTCAGGCAGTTTTAAAAATAACTTTCTGGTCCCATTTGCATAGAAAATATCCTGATGTGTTATCCTTCAGCGTCTACAACTCTTTACTCAAACAAGGTCTGCGCCCAAACACCATCTTCTTTAGTCGGTGAGGCTCTAACCTTTCACAATAGACGAAGGTCAAAGAGTGACAGAAGTTTAGATTGCCTTTTATCCGGACAAAAGTCGGGGCAGATTATGAACCCGGGGATTAAATGAGGGGCAATAGAGCCAAGATGGATGCCAGCAGGGTCAACACACAGTGGGCTGCTGGAAGAGGGGCTCCGCTGCCCGGCTCCTCGGTATAGTACAGTTCCGTGGGGTCCTCATCGTCTATGGGATACGGGCCGTAGTCTGAGCCGCTGCCCTCCTCCCTCACCGGAGAGTCGAAGCACAGAGCCTTCATGCTGTTCTTAACATACTCACAGATGGCCCTCTCAGTCCCGTCACACATGCATGTGTCCAGCTGCTGACCCTTGGGTATTTTACGCATATTCGCTATCACATTCCGGCAGGCGTTTGTGCAGATTGCCCCGCTGAAAAGCTTCCCACAGTGCTTCAGATAGTCTTGCATGGAGGAGCTGCACTGCCCGTCTCTCTCGCACTGGCGCCGGGCTTCCGTGCAGCCAGTGCTGGTAGTCCTGGGCAGGCACGGCTCGATGGCCCGTTTGGTGCCCGTGCACACCGGGTCGTGCGCGCAGCTGCAGTCCTCCAGAGCCGGCCCGTTTTTGGTCAGATTTAGCTGCACCAGCGAGGAGATGCAGTGGCTGGGGCACTTCCTCTTCTCCCCGTTCAGCACGGGGCCACATGCGCGCGAGTAGTGCTCGTATGCGTAATTGCACTCGGGCTCGGCTTGGCAGTTCATGATGGCTTGCCAGCATATCAGTCTTCTACCGTGGGACGGCGAGGCCACAGAAAGGTAGCCAAAAAACAGAAGCACACAACCGAGAGGCCAAACACATCTACAGACACTCCGTGCCAAAGAGCAAGAGCTTGCCATTGTTCTGGCTGCAAGAGAGGGTCAAACTCACAACAGTGTCATATGCAAAACCTCTACACTACTTTCATGAATAGTGTCAACTGGAGAGTGTCATTTACTCCGAGGCAGATGGTGTGTGATAGGCCCGTGTGTGGGCGTTCAACAGGCTGGCACTGCGCTGTGTAATCCCGGCTCCATAAACCCGTCAGCGATGATCCATTTGAGCCGGATTCTTGGGCGAAACTCCCGTTATCCATACATGATTGGGGGAAACTGAAAAGTAAACGTAGGCCTACAGGAGTAAAACAAAAGACGCCGACAAGAAGTTCTCCAGAAGTTTAAGAAAGTTTCTGCAGTGGTTTATTCCATCGCAGGGATTCTCTGAGTTCATGTAACAAAACTGCCTCCAGCTCAGTGAGCTCCTGCGCCCTCCTGCTAGCGGATCTCAGACAAAAAACGAAGCCGTAAGTCCCGAGAGTCCTTTGGAGGAGTGCGCTGGATCATTTAGCAGTCCTTGTGCGTACGGGTGTGCAAACAAATAGTGCATGGGGAAAAACAACAACCCTTGTGGGTCGCAAAGTGATCCTCTACTCTCTCCCCTTTGAGCATTTGTCTTTCTGCCCCTCAGCCCCCTCTCTACATATTAGCGAGGTGCTTCTCATTGGCTGGCCACTTGTTGTGGGTTCCTACGTAATGAGGGGCGGGAGTTCAGAGTGGGAGCAAGATGGGCTTGAGAAGCACAAGGTCAGGTGAGATGAATGTGTTTGAGAGTAGATTTAGTGGAAACAGCAGTCCTCTTCTAATATAATAGAAGAGGAAGAGGAGGAGGGGGGATACTTTAACACTTGTCATGCTAACAGCGTTCTATAGCCTACATTTAAATCAGAACATATCACAAACCGTCACACAACAAAGTATTGTGATGGTATGTTTTAAGTTAAAAAAAGAAAGTTATCATTAAAATATTGATACTTTAATTTATGATCACCAGCTTTGGTTATTGTTTTGATTTAAAGTATTACTAAATAAAAATACATAACCTATCTTGCCTGAATGATAGCGAAAGACAAAGGAATGTATTTAACCTTAAATATTATATTAATTTAAAAAGGATATTGTAACATGGTTTTAAGGGGAAATCATAAGGTTTCACAAAATAAGTGTTTATATCTTCCCATTATAATCATGAGCTGTTGCTTGCAATGTTTAATGTACAATACTAAATATAATCTCATGACGTATTCCTCGCTTCATGTAACAGAGGTCCTCAAAGTCACAACTACAGTATGTGCGACAAGACCAGCACTCACCCCAGTAAAGCACTTTCTAAAGTGTAATATTCTGCAGATAGTTGAACGTGACACTGTGACTTCTGTACAATATTACACTGAACTCCATGCCTGCCGTGCTAATGATCTGTGCAGTATCCTCACTGATAAATTAATCATGCCCATCCTATTAACTCTTCCTCAGCAGAGCAGTTGAGCACAAATTCATTGGGGGATAAAAAGGGCACTCAGTGAACATCATTTAATATAATCACACATTAAGGCTAACTTCCCCACTTCCTATTATTGCAAATGGTAAGCCGGTGAATCACGAGGACATTCATTTGCAGTGTCTTGCCTCAACATGTGATCTGGTATTAATCCAGTCAAACTAACACGACTGACTGCAGCTGTTTAAAGCATATCATCAGCCTGTGTTAATAAGTGGACTCCAGGAGTTTTGCTGTAAATAACTGAATCATTTCTTTATGCATCTACTGCCAGTGTGAAACAGGTGTCACGATGCTTTGTAGGGCAATGGGTAATACAAAGTGACAGTTTTTCAAGTTACTGATTATCCCTGAATGTAAATCATAATACAGTATCTTGATTCAGCCTCTACGCCAGATTTATCAATGCACACTTACATAAATGTTAGTTGTTATACATTAGAAATATTCCTAATATTAATCTCTAAAAACTAAATGAACACAGAGAATGAAGATAAATTGCAATTGTACATAGTTGTAATATCTTTAGTGGTTTTGACTTACAAATACAGCAAGTAGAAGTTTTTCTGTGGTAAGAGTATCTCATTTTCTAAACTGTCAAATAAAGCAGTAAGGGGAGAAAAAAAAAACATTCAGAAGGTCTTCGAATATTTTCTTCCATAGGTTTGAATCAAAACAGCAACAACTGTTTAATAGTATTGTATGAACTGACCTGGACCAAAGAGCTGTTTTCATGGATTAACCTGCTGTTGATTTCGTTGATTAGTCATCAAAATGTGGGAAAACTACAAAATAAAAGCTGCAGTTCTTAAAGAAGCCCTCAATTATTATGTTATCGCTTTTTCTCTGACCATCAAAAAGGTAATAAAGATTCTGAATACCTTGTTGGTTTTCAAAAGACTTTGGGCAAAAGTCTTATAAAAGTCCAAAGATATCTCCCTGGACCTCATCATCAAAATAACACACAAGGGTGTGTGGGAGTGTCTGTCTGTGTGTGCATGTGTTTGTGTGTGAGTGAGTGAGTAAAATGATAGCCCACATGTTGACACATGAGCGAGAGGAGGCAGTTTAGTTCTTGAGGCCTGATGTGGATGAGGGAGTCAGGGAAAGAGAGCAGCGAGGGCACAAAGGCGGTTTGTGTTTCAAACAGCATTCTGATCTCAGGAATGTACCTTTAGGCCACAGCCGTGAGCTTCCCACTGCAAACAATGCACTCAATGTCAGTTACGGCTGGCTAGCACAGACGCTGCTGGCGCTACTCCAAAGTCCCAACTCGTCGAAAATGATGGATACAGGGAACTCAATACCTCAGGAGTCCCTCTGCTGCCTTGCCCTCCAGCACAAAGAATAGCAACACCGTGTTCTTCGACAACAGATTCCCAAACACCAACGTCTTCATTGTTTTAAGTGCACAACTGTAATAGGAAACAGAGGCAACACCATTCAAGCAAATAATTCATTCAACTTTTTACATTTGTGTCAATAAAACAGCAATTTTAGCCTTTCAGAGTCCATAATAATTTGCATGTTTTGAAAATGGATTAAGTCAAGACTTCTAGGAGAAAATACCTCTTTAAAATCTCATCAAACACATAAAAAAATCTTTCATCCTAAACACTTACAGATGAGAAAAAAGTTGATCGAATCATCCAACACTTTTGTCTTTGCCAACAGCTGTACGCTTAAACCAGATGTGCTGCACCGAGAGCGGAGTGTCGTTACTTTGAGGGCTCAATGAAACCAGAGTTCTCGCCGTAACAGTCCAATTAAGGGACAAACATAATGGTATTAAAACCATTCCCTGCAGGTGTTTTGTAAAATTACTTAAAATATAACTTTGGTTAAAAAATAATAATGGCTTCAACTTGTGTTTACAGTTTCTATTAGAAAGAAAAACGGAAACAATTTAATTAAAGACATTTATGATGCTCTATTTGATACATTTTGACATTCTTGCTGCACATTTGAAACATTTCCAACTCATTAATGGTCACAGGACTGCTGCTGTTGAAGTGTAAAGAGTAACTGCTGGAGCTGAATCCCAGCAGAGAAGGTCAGCAGCAGTGGGCCTGCACAGCGCCGTCTGAAAAAGGAAATATCAGGATACAGGAAATGAGTTGGCAGGAACTATCCATTCAAATTGCTTCCTCTTTGGGATTTCAGAGAAGCGATAATGGCAAGTGATAAGTTATTTGGAACCGAATCAAATAAGATTAAGGATTCATTTCCTTCCTCGTGTCTGCCTATTAATTTGCCTCTGGTTAGTCCCTCCTCTTCTGGGGATTTGGGTTGATTTGTTCGGTGGGGAACTGCACAGTGACGCACAAGTGATTACAACTGTACACGTTGGCAGATACTGTCAGAAAGTCAAAAATAAACCATCTATTTGTATCATTTCCAAGAGTTTTGCGGTATTCCTAGGCATTTTGATGTTAAGGGAGGATCTCCTGCAGCACTAAATACCAACACAAACGTTTTCAGCTTTCAGGGAAATAAACACATTTGACTTAAAACCAAGTCAGCGTTACACACCCATATTTTTAGAGAGTATGAAATTGAAACTTCCTTTCCTGTTGTGCTTCAAAGTTACTTAACTGAGTGGGTGGATCCCTTCTTCAAAAACCTGCCAAATGGTTAAAATGTTAAATGAGGTGTTATGGGGTGGCGTTCCTTTAATCAGTGAGATTAAAGTCATCCATCATGTCAAATCGGCACTGATCCTGCTGACCCTTTTAGCACAGTCCACTGCATTATAACTTCTAGAAGACCTGATCTGCACATTGGTGTCCCATCAAAACAGAAAACAGACTCTGATAACATAATCATCACAATCAGGCGGTGGCAGCAGCCATAATTTAAATAGGTTAGTAATCAAGAGAATGTATGAATGAGTGTAACATTTTATTAACTTAAACTAGGGTTTTACTGTGTATTTGATCAGCTTTGTTGAAAAGGAAGTAGCTGCAAGGTGCACCGTACCATCGGTCGGTGTCTGGCTTCAGACCTTTATTCATTTCCTGTCTTCTTTCTACTGTCCTAATAAAAAAAGTCATATAAACGGCGCCCCGCCCCTAAAAAAAACAATGTATATTAAACAGAAATGTATGTTTTTTTCTGATATTGTAGACTTCCAGTTGACCAGACAGGAAGTCTACATGTATTGTGACCTTTTTGTGACAGGGCAGAAATGCCGGAGAGACAGAGAGAGAGAGAAGTATAACATACATCAAGGGTGCTAAGTCCAGGATCAAATTGCATGCACTTTAGCTTCCTGCTACACTAAGGAGCTCTAAAAGACTTTGCAAACCGTCCAAACACCATTCTACAATTAAGCATGCACGCCAAGTGTTTGCTCACAGGGCAACAATGGCTAATACCGCTTTGCAACTATAAGTGTTAAAGAGACGGATGCCCTCCTCTCCCCGCGAGCTCCCAAGTGGAACCTGCAAAACAGTCTCGAGGGTTATTTTCCTTATTTGAGCCCCTAAAACAGGCAGACCTAGACATCCTGGTCCGTATGTCCTCTAATAGTAAACAGCAAAGTCCATTAGTGGTGGAGAATGTGCTTTTAGATCTGTAATTACATCCAGGTCACTTTTACAGTATTTACCTCGACAGACCTCTCCGAGTCTCTACACTGCCTCCACACACCGCATATCACACGAGCAGCTGCTTCAACACATGCTGCTCTGCCATCAGCCAGTATGAGCGGCTGTTTATACAGGCCCGAAGGCCTTTCATATCAATGCAAACACCAGCACATATGGACCAACCAATAAAGACCTAACCTCCGACACAGACACATGACCTTAATCTCCCCAACATGGAGAGCAGCAAGACAGAATTTACCATGTAAAAACACAACAAATAATCCCTACAGCATGTGCTAAACATGCCTGATCTCATGTGTATAAAAGATTCAGCTCCTTCATTGAGAGTGATGGGGACTTAGACAGTTCAAGTGAACTGCATTCCTTATTATTGTTGTATTGTATTTTTCACAACTAAACATGTGGTGATAGTGGTGTTATAACTGACTGCAGTGCTTTGTCGCTTACAAGAAAATGTGAGTGCTGCTGCAAATCTAGTCACTGAATTACTAATACCAAAAGAACACCTGAAGTATGAC